AAAACAAGGACAGGAGTACTTTCCAGAAAGCAGTGAAAAAAAAAAAAAAAAAAACAAGGACAGGAGTACTTTCCAGAAAGCAGTGATAGACCAAAGATAGGATGCAAATACACACATACACACATAGTACAGATATCCTTATTCATGACCAACATGATTTCATTTGCTTTTACTGGTTGTTGGTTGTCTTCTGAATGCAATTCAAATTGTTGGTTGCCAATTTGCTGGACCAAGTTAATTATGAGACTACTTTCTTCCGAATTCATCAGCCTGTCCAATCAGATCAGACAAAATCACCTCCCTTCAGGTCATGTCTCTTCAAGAGTATCATCTGACAAGACTTAAGAAATGAGTATAAGTAGTCCTTGACTTACAACCACAACTGAGCCCAAAATTTCTGTTGCTCAGTGAGACATTTGTTAAGTGAATTTTGCCATTTTACAGCCTTCCTTGCTTCAGTTGTTAAGTGAATCACTGCAGTTGATAAAGTTAACCACCCAGTTGTTAAGTGAATCTGCCTTCCCTTTTTGATTTTGCTTGTTAGGTCACAAAAGGGGATCACAAGACCTTGGGACACAGCAAGGTCATAAGAATGAACCAATTGCCAAGCTTCTGAATTTTGATCATCTGATCATGGGGAATGCTCATAACTCTGGAAAATGGTCATGTGTTGTTGTAACTTTAAATGGTCACTAAATGAACTTGTAAATCGAGGATTAGCTGTACTTTCAATCCCACTGTATAGAAATCCTATGTACCTTTTTCTCTTGGGTTTCAGGAAAGCATTTGAGACTTGGCTTTTCTAACTAGCCCTGAGAGGAGGCATATTATGAACATTGGCCATACATTTTTGATATTTTAATGCTTTTTAAAAGAAGGGTTATTTTAATGACTTTTTAAAAAAAGTTATTCCTTCAGAGATTTGGGGATGGACAGCATACAAATAAAGAAATCCACCACTAACTCAACCCAATTTTGCCTCGCAGTGCACCCTAAAACCACTGCGTTACACAAGTCTGTTAGTTACGCAACAGGCTTAAGCTAAAATGCCGTTGGTCGGTTTTAGGTCTGGGTTGTGTGAACTTGCAGCCCTGTTGTTGCATAAGCCCATTTCATATCCGAGAGAGAAAGATTAACGAGCCAAGTATCTGTTAAAATGGAGCCCACCAAAGCACGTGCCAGAATAGCTGCCATTCCCAGGCTAATTACTGAGCAGTTCGTGCAGTCTGGCCCCCAAACCATCCCTGCGACCGTATGCCTGGCTTCATTCGTGATTTATTATACGGCACCGGCTGGATGACATTAAACGTTAAAACATCCGTCACTTGGAAATGGCCTTATTCTTTAAAGTGGCATGAGCCTCCCTCCGCGGTTTCCATAACAGCTCGAGATAACAAAAGGGCGGGAAAGGGTCAACCAACGCCAGAGACTTCCCTGCAGGGTTAACCTTCACCTCCCCGCAGCGCCGCGGCTCTCTCCCCTCCCCGCCTTCTGTTTTGCTTCCCTTTCATTGGCTGCCTGGAGACTTAAGGCAAGAAAGCGCTCTAATTGGGACCCGGGCGGACACGGATCCCGTTTCCTGGGCAAAGCAGATAGGGAAAACGGGAACGAGAAGGCAAAGTCCAAGCGACGACGGTCGCCGCCAGCCTCAACGGAGCGGATTTGGTTTGGCTTTTCTTCTCGGCCAGACAGAGCCAGGAGTTTTGCACTCCAAGCAGGTGGAGGATACCGAGGAGGAGGAGGAAGAAGAAGAAGCGGGGGAAACAGCCCTGGGCAGAGGCGGAAGGAGCGCGCCTCATTGGCTGAATAGTTTCTCGTTAGGCGAAGGAAAGTTGGCCGCGGAATTCCTGACCGTTCCGCCGCGGGCAGAGCCGGACTCGGTGGGGGAAAAAAGAAAAGCAGGAGCACCAGCCGCAGGTAAGTGATCTCGGGTGGCTTTTCAACGAAGGACGAGGGGGGCTCCTTGAGTGGACCGCTCATCCCAAACCCAAATTTGAGGGTCGTGGGAAAGCTGTGGGTCCCAGTGCTGTTTCCGTGCAGCAAGAGGAGGAGAAATAAACATCACATTTCCCCTTGCAGTCATCCTAGCCCGCGCATACTTCGTTGTGCAGGAATAGGGTATAAATTAGTGGCGTTCAAACCAGTGCCGACGTTGTTGACTTGGCGGAATCTGAATCGCTTCAGTCTTGTGGGTACGGAAGAAACGCACAGAGGGTGAGATAATCCTTTTTTTAAAAAAATCTGCAAGTAGTTCTTAAGGTCTACAAACTATTATCTCTTGCTTTGACTTTGTAGTTGCAATCCCCGGTTAGGATAAAACGGCACTTTCGCGAAGATACAATAACCTGTTAAAAACGGAAGCTCTTCTTTAGGTAACCTGGCATAGGATTGATTACAGGCAACCTTACTCCATTGGAAATCTTTCATAGATTAAAATAGGGATGGTACATTGCATTAAGGACCTTTCTGACTTTTGAGTTGAGAGTCTGTTTGTTTTAGATGTTTGCTAAATAAATACTGAAATTGGAATCGGTTAATGATGATTTGGATGAGAGGCAAAATATTTCTTAATGATACATCCTCTGAATAAATGAAAACGTAAAAAAATGCTTCTTTTTCATGGTCCACCACATTTCTTCTATGAATCTGCAAAACGGTGCACACATATACTAACTGGGCTGTATTTGTTTCATCACCTGAACAATTAGGAACCTGCTTCTACGTTTATTAGTGAGATGAGTGGTGCCTAAATTTGATAAATAAAAATAAATTTTATCATATGTAATTCTCTATAGAGAGCATCTTTACAATTACAGGCTGGTTAATTGTTAACTTCAAATTATAAGTGCTCTAAACATTACCTAAGTCATTAATTATGTGAAACATATGTTAGTTTATCAGATCTGGACTGCAAAATCCAGACAATTGCTAAACAATTGCAACAATTAGAATTTTCTATATCCATTTGCTGGTGTGTGGAATTTCCTAGATTTTTTCAGCCCACAGCTGGTATCCCTAATATATTTGATTTTTTGTATGAATATTTGTGCTTTGTGAAATTTGCCTACAGCAAGAACGCTTTAAAAGAGTGCTGGTGAAAGTCTTTTTATGTTCTAGCGACTGCATTTTCTCTTTCATACACTCATGGTTAAAATACTTCATAGCAGAGAAGGAACAGTATTGACAAGTTGTGCTTTTCTATGGCTATGAGGTCTGGCAAAATCTGTGGTATCAGTGCCAAGCAGAGATAATGAACAGCACAACTATGGTTATGAATATTGTGCCCTGCTCGATAGGCTGATTGTATTGAAATACACATGATATACATGCTTTCAATCAGAATAGAACTGGAAGGGACTTTGGAGGTGTTCTAGTCCAACCCCTGTTCAAGCAGCAGACCCTACACCCATGACGGCAAACCTATGGCACGCGTGCCAGGGGTTGCACACAGAGCCTTCTCTGTGGGCCCGCACGCTGTCGCCAGCTGCTCTTCCAGGTATTGTCATGTGCATGCATGCCGGACAGCTGGTCTGGTGTGCACATGCACCAGCCAGCTGCTCTCTTCTGGGTTCTGGTGCTCTGCGCACACATGCAGTTTGGGCACTCAGTGCCGAAAAGGTTAACCATCCCTGCCCTATACCATTTCAGACATGATTGTCCAGTCCCTTCTTAAAAACCTCCAGTGATGAATCACCCACAACTTCTGAAGGAGAGCTGTTCCACTGATAATGGTTCTCACTGTTAGGAAGTTTCTCCTTAATTCCAGGTTGCTTCTCTCCTTGATTAGTTTCCATCCGTTGTTTCTTATACTATCTTCTGATGCTTTGTAAAATAAGTTCACTCTCTCCTCTTTGTGGCAACCTCTCAAATACTGGATACTGTTATCGTATCCCCTCTAGTCCTTCTTTTGTCTAGTCTAGCCAAATCCTGAAACTGTTCTTCATATGTTTTACTCTCCAGGCCTTTAATCATCTTAGTTGCCCTTCTTTGCCCTTTTTCCAAAGTCTCAACATCTTTTTTAATGTGGTAACCAAAATTGGATGCAGTATTTCAGGTGTGGCTACTACGGCTTTATAAAGTGCTACTATACTTCACCTGATTTTAATTTTGTGCCTCTCTTTATACAACCAATGATTGTATTAGCTTTTTTGGTTGCTACTGCACACTGCTGGCTCATATTTATGTCCACTAGGACTCCAAGGTCTATCTCACAGTTACTGTTTTTGATGCAGGTTTCACTTAATCTATATTTATACCTTTGGTTTTTCCTGCCTAAGTGTAAAACCTTGCTTTTCTCCACATTCAATTTCATTTTGTTGTTCAAGTCTGTGAAGATCTTTTTGGATTCCGAGCTTGTCTTCTGGGATGTTGACTATTCTTGCCAGCTTAGTATCATCTGCAAATTTTATGAGTTCTCCTTCTATGCCCTCATCTAAGTCATTTATGAAGATACTGAAGGGTACTGGGCCTAAGATAGAACCTTGTGGTACCATGTAGATCAGGGGTGTCAAACTGAAGACCCAGGGACCGGATATGGCCCCCGGGTTGCTTAGATTTGGCTCGCAGGGCCGCCCTGGAAACAGCAAAGGACCAGCCTGTGGTGCCTCTGCCAGTGAAAATGGAGCTTGGGGAAGCTGTGTGCCAGTGAAAACGGAACCTCAACAAGTAACATCGAGCTGGCCATGCCCAGCCTGGGTATACCCACTCCAGGCAAGCCCACCCCTGGCTCCCCAGGTCAAACACAACCCTTATGTGGCCCTCAATGAAATCGAGTTTGACATCCCTGATGTAGATGTAGTACCATTAAAAACGATTCATTGAATACAGTTTGTCAGCCAGTTACAAATCCATTTGTGGTGGTGTTGTCTATCCCACATTTTTCTAGCTTACGAAGAAGTAGGTTGTGATCTACTTTGTCGAATGCCTTGCTGAAATCTCAGTATACTATGTCCACAGCATTTCTCAGGGCTACTATTTTATTCACTTTGTCAAAGAATGAAATAAGATTAGTTTGGCATAATCTTTTTTTTAAACAAATCCATGCTGGCTTTTAGTTACAACTTTATTGCAGATGTTCTGTATCTAGATGTTTGCAGATTTGTTTGTTTGTTTTTTATTATCTTTTCCAGTATCTTCCCAGGTATTGATGTCAGGCTGATTGGTCTGTAGTTTCCTGGGTCTGTCCCTCCCCCTCTTTTTTTTGAAGATGGGTGTTTCAGGATTTTTGAAAGATATCTTATCTCTTGATGTGCTTGCTTTCTTCTATAGGGAGGTTTTAACAAGAGAAAGATGAGACTCTTAGCTCATGTTTTCTGAATCTGTTCTCTAAGTCAACTTTTAACAGCACTGTATATTCAAACACTGTCATTAATTAGTAGCAGATATACAATGCTTGCCTATTGATTGTTAACAGAATTAGAATTCAAAGATAATTCCCAGCCTTCTTCATGTTACATACTTCAGATACAGAATTACAAGTCCAGCTGCTTCTGCAACCTGTTTGTTTGATTATTAAAATTATTTGCTGCCTATCTCACCCTGGGATTATTCTGGGCAGTTTACAACAGTAAAAATGTAAAATTACAAAAATGTCAACATAATAGTAAAACAATGAAACAAAGTAAATGCTGAAAATGTAGTAATATGATTAAAAGATGGGCAGGGAGGGAGAAGGATACATGGTGGGAGATTATGTTCTGCTATTCAAGGAATAATTTAAAAATTGATATTCCTTGTTTTGTAACTGTGAGCTCCCCAAAGACATAATCTTGCTTTCTTTTTGTTAGCAGTGGAGTTGGTGGTGGAAAAAAAATCCACTTGAAATGGAAAGGAATCGAAAGCCTTTTATTAGCAGGACTTACATCTTCTCTCTTTCATCAAAATAATTTCATCTGATCTATTGCCTAAGTAAGTATCCTCCCCTCCCCCCCAAAAAAAGTTAGAATATGGTCAGAAGTTATTCTCACGAAACAGCTGTGAGTGTAGAAAGCTCCCTGAAGGTATAATTATTTTCATAGTTGCAACTTCATAATCTCATGAAAATGTAGATTCCCTCTCCTCCCCTGCCTCATGGCTCACGTTTCATTCCTAGGTTGCAGATAAGCTGCCAGATGTTGTAGTTTGTTGTGTAAAAAATTTCAACAGCCCTTGTTTGATGTAGATTCCTGTTTCCTTCTACTACATCACTTTACTTTTATTTTTAATTGCAGACATCATTGTTTCTGATTTATACAAATATGTTCCATGTGCCTTGGGAAAAGTTCGTTCCTCTTTGAAGAGGTACAGTTTGGCATGAGATAAGACTATCTCAATACCACACCTAGGCTAATTGCAGCTGTAACTGTGGATCTTTTTGGAATGATGCATGAAAAATGGGAAAATACAACACTGCTGGTTCGAAGTCAGATGCAGGTTATGGCGGATATTAACTTTACTTTCCACATTGTCAAGGCAGAAGCTTAATCTTAGGTTCATGGTCCCACAAGAATAAAGTTGAAAGCGGCTGTTTCAGCTCTAAAGTACCCTTATTTCATTTAAATATTTATGTTGCAAGTGACAGTGGGCATAGCATAAAGCTCCCAGTGCATGCTGTTACAGATACTTTCTACAGTTCACCTTTTCTTGTTTCCTTTGACCCAGCAAATAACAACTCTTATATGGATCTTCAGTGATCCACAATGAATAAGGACAATCCACTCTAATAGTATCTCCAGTAATACAGCAGTTTACAGAGCCATCCATGGTTACATAAATGAGGACAATAGCTTCAGAGGTATAGAAAAATGCTGCAGATGTTCCTGCTTCCTCTGAGGGTCTTCTTGCCATGTTTTAAGCTGAGGTCTCTTCCACCCATGGGTTAGTATCAATCCGACCTTGAGGCTGCTTCCTGCACCCCTTACTACAGGACTTCTACAGGG